ATCTCACCGGGGGGGGATAAGAGGGTTACAAATGTGGGCGACAAGGACGAGACGAGAATACCGATGCGGAATTTGGTTAGATGCGGACTCTTGGGATTAGGGAAGAAACTGTCGGGTTAAAAAATGGGGATGGAGTTAAAATTCGAAGAGAAAGAGAGAGAGAGAGCGAGAGAGAGAACTTGAGAGAGAGATAAAAAGAGAGAGAAAGAGAGAGAGAAATAGAGAGAGTCCAGCTAGCAGAGAGCACCTAGGAAAGGAAGGGGCAGGCTGGTAGATAACATTTAGGAATGGAAGGGGCAGGCTAGCAGGGATCCTTTGGGAATGGAAGGGGCAGGCTAGCAGAGATCATTTGGGAATGGAAGGGGCAGGCTAGCAGGGATCCTTTGGGAATGGAAGGGGCAGGCTAGCAGAGATCATTTGGGAATGGAAGGGGCAGGCTAGCAGAGATCATTTGGGAATGGAAGGGGCAGGCTAGCAGAGATCATTTGGGAATGGAAGGGGCAGGCTAGCGGAGATCATTTGGGAATGAAATGGGCCGGCTAGCAGTGATTCTTTCCGGAATTTCGATACAAAAGGGCTAACAAGCACAAATTGGCCGAAAATTCCAAACCGAATTCACGATCCACCTTTTTTAAATCGCCAGAAAACAAATAACGAAACGAGAAGAATTGGGTAACCGGAAATGGACGACACCTCCATGGCTGGCTGGCAACTTCCGGCGCTGATTAAAAGGCCTTTTCTTATTTTTTTTTTTGAGGCGGCAGCTTACAGGTGGAAGTGGGGTGGGGAGGGGGCAATCAGGCACACCTTCATCAGGCGGGAATATGGTTTGTGAGGTACCGGACTGGGAGAAAAATATCGAACCTGAGGGAACGCAGAAATGAATGGCATGTAGGCTGTAATTATTTCAGGAAGGTTATGAAAAGTAAATGAAATAAAAATTGATAAGGGGTCGCGTGTAGCGGCTCCGTAAAATTGCAAACGTAAATCACAAAAATCCGCAGTTTAGGTTCAGTTTGGGATCAAGAGCATGAGGAAAATCATGAGAGAGCAAGAGAGCGATGAGATCGAGAGAGAGATAGCGAGAGAATGAAGCTTGAGATTGGAAGCCAATAAAAAACAGAAAGAGCACGAGAGGAAGAGCAACAGCGGGTGAGCAAGAGCCAGCAAAAGAAATCTAGAATTTTTAAGATATAGAGTGTCATGAGTCAAAAAGGGAGCTCTAAATATCGCTCTCGCTCTCTCACTCTCTCTCTCGCTCTCTCTCAACCTTTCCCTCTCTTTTTCTCTCTCCCTCTCTATCCCTCTCGCTCTCTTCTCTGCTACCCTCCCTTTAAAACACGCAACAAATGACCGACGGTTAGGACAGAAAATGGGACCCTTTCTCTGTCTGGGGCCCACCAGATTCCTTGGCCCCGGATCAGATCCCATGGTAACCGTTCTCCTCTAGGGCCAGCCCGCGAAAAGCGTCCTCATCAAAGGGCCACACACATTTTTCCCGGATTACCATGGCACAGAAAAAATGACCGAATGAAAGAGGCGTCGAGGGGGGGTCCATTTTGGGGTGCGGTGCGGCGCGCGCGGATGCGCCACGTAGCGGCAAGAGAGCGAGAGAGAGAGAGAGAGAGAGAGAGAGAGAGAGAGAGAAAGCAACGTAGAGACCCATAATCCGCATGCCCGCCTTTTTTTAGATTGGGGCAATTTGGTCACATTTTAGGGATCAGAACCCCCTCTCATGGGGTGGCTATATGGCATCCGGTAATCCCCGAAGGGATCCCGGATTCTACGTGCCAGAAAAAAAGCTGACCCGGACCGGAAGTGGAGCCAAGAACTTGGAGAGTGTTGCGGGTATTCGGAGAGCTTCGAATTGCAAATTTACAGGCAAAGATCAAGAAACACGAAAATCGACCCCCTGCGACGACTAGGTCTAGACAGCTACGCAACAGACGATAACATAGGCCCATCCGATTTTGAGATCCCTCGAACAGTCAAGTTCATGAAAATTCAGCGCGATTTCAAGCGTCATTTGGAGTGTTGCGTAACTGTCTAGACCTAGTCGCCGTAGGGGTTAATTGCGCGCTTTCTAGTTCCTTTAAAAGCATAGTTCGGTCAGTCCAATAAAGGCGAGCTCCGGGTCCTGAATACAGTATTTTCAGCTAGCCAGCCATGGGAAATCGGTGTCAAATCGTCAGGCCATCGTAATCGTAATAGGCACAAGATGATCCTCGTTTCTCCTCGCCAGCGCCTCTCTTTCTCTGTCTCTCTCTGTCTCTCTTTCTCTGTCTCTCTCTCTATGTGTGCATAAATCCAGATCCGATCTTTTTACGGTTTTGCCCTCCCTCCATCCGATCTGGCCGGCTGACGGGAGCTGTGTGAGTGAGCAACCCCTGCTGCCGACTCAGATGGTGATAACGGAGAGCTGTGAGGGGATCCCGTTTTGATAACGACCCGTCCGCCGCCTTGGCTGTGTGCTGCTATGCATGACACGGTCTTCAGAAAATCCTTTCTGGGCTGCTGTCCTTTCTTGCAATCACAGATCGGCCGCGGACTACAGGGTGACGAAGGGATGGGGTTTGCGAAACTACAAATAGCAAGATTAAGAAAATAGAGCGATAGGTTTTTGCAGTTTTCAAGGTTTTTCAGCAGGTTGCGACAGTTTCCTCGCGAATTTTGGCGAACTAGAGTTTTTGAAAAATAAGTTGAAAATGGGGAAGAGTCGAAGATGCCGTAGTCAAAGGTACGAGAAGCTGCAAACGCTCTAATGGGGTTCCAAAATATGCGGTACAGTACGGTATGATATCGCACAGTGCTGTATGGCACAGTACAGTGCAGGACGATACGGGGCAGTCGGGTAAGATACTGTACAAGTACAGTACTGTACGGTTTGATACATTGCAGCAATAAGGTACGCTACAACACAGCACGATAGGATACAGAACAGTACCACACAGTATAGTACGGTACGATACAGGCTAGCACGGTACGCTACGGTGCTATACAGTATGTTACAGTACAGTACGATACGGTAGGAAACAGTACAGTACGATAAAGTACTTACGTAAAATAGCGTATCGCACTATATAAAAGAGAACAGTATAGTATAGTACGATAGGACGCAGTAAGGCGTGTAATGTTGATTGAAAGATCAAAATGTAAAAGTTGATTACGCTCGAAATTCTATTTATACGCTTATTTTGGTAAAAACTTACATTAATCGAATGGAAAAACCTTCTCCAAAAATACAAACAAAAATAATTTCCTGGAAGTGACTCAAGACCTATCCGTAAATAGGAAAACACGTACGAACAATGAGGCATTCCCAAAATCATTGCAACACTTCGGTATTTTTGGCGAATTTTTGGGAAAAGAGAATGAAAAATGGGTGAGTCAGCGTCGGATTTTGGGGTTAATTCTGCCGAGGAGCCGAGAGTTCCTCACCGATTTCTCGAATTGTGCTGATAGGAACACACGGAGGGTGAAGAAGAGGCGATCAGAGACACTGACGTGTCCCCATTAAACTGAAGCACCAAAAAATCATAGCGGGGAGCCATTCGGGCGCGTCTGCTGATTGGCATGAAAAGCCGAATTCTCAATCGTTGGAAAATGTCTACAGGGATGAATCGAACTTTTAGGGCCCCTTAGAGACCCCCCTTTTATCATTCCAAAATGGTCCCTGCTAGCCTGCCCCTTCCATTCCCAAATGATCTCTGCTAGCCCGCCCCTTCCATTCCCAAATGATCTCTGCTAGCCTGCCCCTTCCATTCCCAAATGATCTCTGCTAGCCTGCCCCTTCCATTCCCAAATGATCTCTGCTAGCCTGCCCCTTCCATTCCCAAATGATCTCTGCTAGCCTGCCCCTTCCATTCCCAAATGATCTCTGCTAGCCTGCCCCTTCCATTCCCAAATGATCTCTGCTAGCCGGCCTCTTCCATTCCCAAAAGATCTCTGCTAGCTTGTCATAAGTAGTGTCGCTTCAAATCCCATTGTGTGTTTGTGTGAATATCATGTCGTAATGCTTGTAGCAAGGTGTAATAAAATTCAATAATTTATTAACACAACGCACTCGAACTGGGGGAGCAATAAATAAACCAAAAAACGGAGGATACCAAAGATCACCGGAGTGGGGTGTTGGCAACCGGACGACTAGAGCAATGATAATATAAAAAGGACAAGTAAAAATGGGTGAAAAACACGCGAAAATCCGGAATGAATCACAGGCTATTATGCGGGGGTGGGCAACCAAAAAACAAGATACCGTACTGCTGGGGGAAAGTAAATTATGCCGTATGGAGACGAATTTTCGAGATTTCCGGGATACGCCTAAGAACGAGAAGGGTAGCTAGGAAAAAGCAGCGAGATCGATCAAAGAGGGGGCTAAAGCTAACTGAAGGGGGGAAAAGCACGAAAAAGCTTTTTAAAGGGACGGGCAAGGCATGGCTATAGCTTTTTCGACGGTTTTCTCTACACGTAACGCGCCTGCGACACGCAACGCGTCTCCTCGGCCTTCGATTTCATTCTCCATCGCATAATGGATTACGACGTTTTCAAGACGGTCAGGCCGTGTGCGCGTCGCGTATCGCGGCGCCGCAGATTTCATGGACCGCAACACTACACTCAAATTTTGCCGCGTGCGCGACACGCAACGCGTCCGCGCGCCTTTCCGGTCCGTGATATATTACGACACCTTTTTCGGCCAAAGGGTAGACGCGTTGCGTGTCGCGGGATTATTCAAGTCTAGAGTCAGAAAATAGCCAAAACTCCATAACCAGGCCTTGCATTTTCCTTTAAAACCCACAACACAAGTACAGTAAGCCGAGGGCTAAGTGGAATGGGGCGGAATCGGATATTCTAATTTTCAGACACACGCACAAGAAAACACAACGAAAATTCTGCTAATTCATGCTAATTTCACCAGTCGTTGGGGGTGGGGACACAACTCGTAAGTGGGGGAACTGGGGTTTTTAAAGGGATAGCGACAGCTGGGGATCGTCGGACCCTCACTCCTCGTCGTTGATGAACGAGACGCAGAGGCGCTGGTACTCCTCGGTGTGGGTGCGCATGTGCTGGCAGTGGGCCGAGTCGGGGAAGCAGTGCAGGGTCGTCTGAAACCTCCCAAATGATCACTGCTTGCCTGCCCCTTCCATTCTCAAATGATCTCTGTTAATCTCCCCGGTCACTCACTCACTCACTCTCTCTCTTTAACTCTCTCTCTCTCTCTCTCTGTCTCCCGCTTTTTCCCTCTCCTCACCTGTTTCCCAGCCTCTCGCTGTGTCTCTGCAAACTCCTCGATCGAGCTGTGCGTGCAGATCTCGTCGCCAGGGCCGTACAGGTAACATTGCCTAAAAAATGACATTTTTTAGGCTCCAGACTACAAAATAGCGGTTGGTTTTGAAGTTATACCCCGAAACTACCGTACCTCTGCGGCAAATCATCAATGGCCAGCATGCGGTAGTAGGCAAAGTTCCGTTCGTACACGCCCTCGTCCCACATCGATTGCACCCAGATGCGGGCCCTGAAAGGAACGTAGTACGGTATGAAAGTACGTTACACACCTCTGGACGGAGAAGTACGTCAGCAGCAGTCCCTTGACGGACTCGCGGACGACGGAGCTGGTCGGTGGGGGGAAGCCGGCAAAGGAGATGGCGCGGGCGGACTGGTTGGGCGAGACGTTGGCCGGCGAGCTGAAGATGTTCAGATTTTCGGGTATTCAAGAGCCGATCAAGCAATGCATGAGTGCGCCGGCTTGAGCAATTCTTTTCTCTAACAAACGACCACGACACCATCCCCCTCACCTGTCAAAGATGATGCCCTGGACGCGCTGCTTGAAGGCGGCCTCGTAGTGGGTGCCCTTCAGCGCGTCCCACAGCGCGCAGAACGTCGAGCAGCCGTTCATACTGGAAAAAAATGGTTCATCAAAGGATCCTTAAAGCAAAAATCCATACCTAAACACGTGGAAATAGACGTCGTGGGGCCAGTTGTCGCCCTCCTTACCGAAGACCTGGTCGAAGACGCGCTGGGCGAGGGGACGATAGTCGGCAAAGTGGCGGATGTGGGAGATCGGGGCCGTGAAGCGGACGTTGGAGATTCTGAAACGAGAGAAATGGAGAGAGAGTGAGACGGGAGAGAGAGAGAGAGAGAGAGAGAGAAGCGGGGAGAGACGGCGAGAGAGATAAAAAGAAAGCGAGCGAGATAGAAAGAGGGAGAGAGAGAGAGAGCGAGAGAGAGAGAGAGAGAGAGAGAGAGAGAGAGAGAGGGCGAGATAGCTTCCCTACCCGGAACTCTCGTAGAATTCGGAGTACTTCCGGAGGTAGCGGTCCCGGCAGCCGGCCCACCCGAACAGGATCACTAGCGATTTGGAGCCTAAAAACAGATTATTTGTAGTCTGTGGCTTGTAGTCTAGCGTATTAGAGGCAAATCTTTGCATGAAAACTACAAAATCCAGCCAAAAACTGCCAGAGTTTTTTGCGCTAAAGATCTAGAAAACGCGACAATCCGCCCACTTTTCCCAGCTAGGTTTCGATAACAACGCTACGCTTTTTTGTGCCTCGCGTAGCTGTCTAGACCTAGTCGATGGCCGGGTCGTTTTTTGCGGTTCCCAGACCGCGAAAGAGATGCTTTCCTACCCTCAATGTAGCTCTCCCGGATCGGCGGCTGCCACTTCTGGGCCCTCGCTTTTTTCGCCGACTTCTGGCACCCAGCCGGGTCGTCGTCCTCGATGCGTTGGCCGTTGGTCGGAGCCTCGTTCATCAACACCTAGAAAAATATGGTGAATTGGAAAACTCCCCTCGCTCTCTCTCGCTCTCCCTGTCTCCCTCTCTCTTTCTCTCGCTCTCTCTCTCACTCTCCCTCTCTCTCTGTCTACGCTACGCTACACTCCTAATTACACTGCCCGTCATTTTTCTATAGAAATCATGACGCAGGCTGCATGATCATCCATGATCCCCCCTAGAGAGAATGCCGGGAATTGCGGGGCCACGCGGAACCGAAATTGGCCCCTTTTACGCGTCGGCGGGCAGAAAAGGAGCGGGGAAAAACAATGGGATGTGATAGTGCCAATTTGGAGCGAAACTGACGCGTGATTGTATGTTCAAACTCATGTTTTGGATTTTAGAGGTGGGTCGAAAACACGAGAATCGACTCTCGCATCGGCTGGGTCTAGACAGATCTCGTGTTACGTATCGAAAAAACGTAACGATCGCTGCATTGTTACAACAAATTATGTTATGGACCTATAGCAAAATACAAATCGTTTTTATACCAGTTTACACAGTTTTGCGTAGAAACACAACAAAATGTGAGAAAATTCGAAACTTTTTTGCATTTTTTCTCAAAAATGGATGAAACTGACCAAAAAATTTAATAATTATCGCGTTTTTCAAAGTATTGAATGTGTTTTTGTGTTTTTTGTAGTTTTCAGACAATCAAAAATTGATAAAAATGCCATAAATGTCGATTTTATATTATTAACAGGTAGGCATGGAAAGATTAGAGACATAAAAATTCGCCGGCTACGGTTTACTTTACCCCCCCAGCCGGAAGTTTTTGGCTATAACTTTTTTATTTTACATTATTGTAGGCTCAAATTAAAGCTCTTAGTATATTTTTCGACGCTCTATCGAATGGCGTTGCGAAAATTCCGACAAAATAAGCGAAAATACCGACAACTTTGAGACCCTTCGGCAGTGGGGGGGGGGGGGGTAAAGTAAACTCTTACCAATTCGCCACCCGATAAAAATTCCCCGCTAATAGTTCAGGCTAAACTCTACTTTACCCCCCCAGGCGAGATAGCAGGCCCGGGGGAGAGGGCGTAGGCGAAGAGATAGTAGGCCTGGGGGAGAGGGCGCAGAGAAAAGGGGCGTCTGGGGGGGTAAAGTAGAGTCTTACCATAGTTCAGAACGGCTTATTGTCCCGAAGCTAGGTAAGTACGAAAACTGATTTATGCAAAATTTTGAAATGGAACCCATTTCTCACCTGGTCGGCATCGACGGGGACCGGCTCGACGGCGTTGGTCGGCATCGTCGGGGAGGGGTGCTGCTGCTGGCAAGCCTTCTGGAGGAGAAGCATTTTTTGAGGTTTTCTCGATATTCGAAAGGTTCAATAGATTCAAATATCAGATTCAGGGCTAAATTGCGTTATATGGTCACTAAACGGATTTTGGATTTTTATATACCAAAATGCTCAGCAGTTCAAGCTGGTTCAGGATCAGTTGAAAAAACTATTGGGAAACACTTCTGGAGCGAGTTATAACACTTCAAAGTTGGCGAGTGTCGTATATGGTCACCAAACGGATTTTCGATTTTTATATGTCAAAATGCTCAGCGGGCCGAGCTGATTCTAGAACAGTTGAAAAAACCTTTGGGAAATACTTCTGGAGCGAGATATACCACTACAAAGTTTGGCGTCACCCTGGTCCACTAAATAACGTTGTCGCCCCGGCGAGTCAGTTTTCGGTGTTGCGAAAAATGGTTGGGTTCGAAATGGGTTTGGCATGAAACTACACACCCGATCTGAGCCTAAAAATAAGGCTTCGTGCCACCGGGGGCCTAGTCGCTTCGGATGGGTGCGAGCTCGTACAGGGTTTCGAAATGGGGGCGCCAAGGCCGGCGAAGCGGCCGGGGGCGCCCCCATTTCGAAAGAGTGGAGCGGCAGCCCATCCGAAGCGACGGCCCACGTTGCCTGACTCATGGGAGTACGTTGAATAATATACCACTTATGAGATATACCACTTCGAAGTTGGGCTTCAAACAGCCCCCTATATACCGTGTTTTTGCCCCGGAAATTCCGTTTTAGGGGGAAGATGGATAAGTGTGCGATAAGCGTTTGGCTTGACATTACACACTCGATCTGAGCCTAAAAATAAGGCTTCGTGCCACCCCGGGGCCTAGTCGCTTCGGATGGGTGCGAGCTCGTACAGGGTTTCGAAATCGGGGCGCCCGAGGAGCGCGAAGCGCCCAGGCGCCTCGATTTCGAAAGAGTGGAGCGGCAGCCCATCCGAAGCGACGGCCCACCTTGCCTGACAATGTATTTTTTTTACCCTTGAAACGGCAATTCTCAACCATTCCGTTTCTTTCCGATGTACAGTTGGCGTATTTTGGTGTACTACGTACTACTTCAGGGGCTGAATGGACGGTTTGTAAGCTAGATATCTCGCTCCAGAAGTATTTCCCAAAGGTTTTTTCCACTGTTCTAGAATCAGCTCGGCCCGCTGAGCATTTTGACATATAAAAATCGAAAATCCGTTTAGTGACCATATACGACACTCGCCAACTTTGAAGTGTTATAACTCGCTCCAGAAGTGTTTCCCAATAGTTTTTTCAACTGATCCTGAACCAGCTTGAACTGCTGAGCATTTTGGTATATAAAAATCCAAAATCCGTTTAGTGACCATATAACGCAATTTTCCCAGATTCAGAAGCAGGATCCTGCAAATACGGATGGAAAGAAGTAGTAAATTTTTTGGGAGAATACGTAGCGTTAGAGGGCAGGGAGTGACTCAACCCTCACTTGCCTCCAGCTGGGCTTTTAAAGGCGCCGAGCTGACGAAACCGGGAAAAAAATTGATAGCGACACCCGCCCGCAGGGTGGGCTGATCAGCTGGAGGCGGCTTGGACAAGGAAAAGCCGTAAAGAAACGACAGGGGAACAGCAAGAGACAAAGAACCGGAAAGTGCTGCAGTTTGGAGCGTAGTCTGGTGTGTACCGTAATCGGGGGAAAGGGCTGAAACTCATCGCAAAACTTGCTATTTGAATCGTTTTGCGGCTATTTGTATCATGCAATAAACGCTCTACTGGGTGTCCCAAAAAAAAGCACCCCCTCTAGCGGCCCGGGGGAAGCTCAGATCGGGATAATTTTTATACCATTCGAAAGCTCTTGGAAAGAAGGCGAGAAAACAAGCGGGATTGATTTTATGAGATTTATTTTTATACGCTGGATATTCAACGTTTTTCTAAAAATAAGGTAGATTTTCAATAGGAATTTCGCGATTAGTATGCAGATCTCGCGTAAATCTGCCGTTTTCATGGTTTTTGGACGTAAAATTTGCTAATAAAAATAGATAATAAAGAAAATAAGCCCTCCTTGTTTTCTCGCCTTTTCAAGAGCTTTCGATAGATACCTAAACGATCAAAAATCGGACACGACTGCGCGCCGCTAGAGGGGGGTGCTTTTTTTTGGGACACCCTGTATGGGTTTTTCGATAGAGAAAACCATCTGGAAAGGCTCAGCACCGTCAAAAATTACACAAAAATTACGGTAGTCGGCGGAAATCTGCTAGAAAAAATTTCTATTTTGATGAATTGGACAAAAATAATTTACTTTATACTAGGCATAAGTTGGAATGCGACAAAAAGCATCGATGGAGCTTAAGGATAGCTTCACTACGGTAACTTGTCTGCTCTCGAGAACTGGAATTTGTTCCGCAAGGTTTTTTATCGGCCCTGGGTGGCATTTTTGGAGCTTCGCTTCTTCTAGATAATTTAAAGCGGAGAAAAATGTAGTTTAACGTGTGCCCAAACTACAAAATTTTCCCAATCCGCGAATAGCGCTATATTTACACAACACAAATACTTCCCGAAACAGCCCGACACCCCGGAGAATCGATGGAAGGGCTACGTGCGGTCTCGCGAGCTAGACGTGTGCTAGGCCCGAATTACTCATCGAGCGCCCGAAATATTCGTTAGCTGGATAGACGTGCCCGACGGACGTTAGTTTTCGGTTCAATTAATATGAAATTCATTGAAATAGAAGGTAACACTACAGAAAAAACGCGAATACCCAACGACGGGGGTCACAAGAAAGATTGAATTTGCCAAAAAATATTCTAATTTGCCTCAAAAAGAGACTGGTCTTACCGTGCAAAACTTTTAGATAAATTTAAAAAGCGCTAAAGAAAGCAAAAAAAACAGAAAATAAAAAAATTCGAATTCTGAGCAAGTGAAAAACTGTAGAAAAGCGCTCAAAAATTGGCGAAAAAAACCTAAACTGCTCATCCTTGAACTCATAAAAGTCTAAAAACTTTACCAAAAACCAGCCGCTAATACATCTTTAAAGGACATTTATAAAAAGTTAATTTCCGGCTCCTTAGGCTAAAGCTAAAAATGGATAGAGAAATCCCCAAAATCTCGATTTTAGCAGGCTTAGAAAAAACGTTGAAGTTCTTAAAACTTTGTGATAGGTGTAGTAACGATTCCCCGAAAGAATTGTGTGCCCCCACAAAACCAGAATATGCAAAAATCGAAAGCCTCGATGCGGGGGGGGGGCTGTGGATTGTGTGGGAGCATGCATGTGTTCGGCACGGGGAGGTCCCGAAGAGAAAGACGAAGAGGAGGAGGAGGAGGAAAAGAGGGACGGCGTGGCCCCGTTTCGCAAAGTGAGGCGAATGGAATGGAAAAAGGAGGGTCTCGTACTCGAGGCGCAGAGGGCGAGAGGGTGAGAGAGAGAGAGAGCGAGCGAGAGTGAGAGAGGGGGTGAGAGAGGCGAGAGAAAGGGAGCAGTGAGGGACACCCGAGGAGGATGCGGTGAAAGCCATAGGAACAACCGGGAAGCGAGGCCGGAATTTCACGGTCTACTCTCTCTCCCTCTCTCGCTTTCTCGCTCTCTCTCTCTCTCTCTCTATCTCTCTCTTCTAAATCCCGAAAGTCCAAGAAAACGCCTGCGGCTGTGGAAATGAGTCGATATGGAGAGGTGCCCTCCTCTTCTCTCTTCACCGCCCGTTCCAGCCAATTTCCCAGACCGAGGAAGACGTCAATTGGGGCGTTAGGAATGCAGAATCTGGATGAGAGGAGGCCCTGCAGAAGCCAAAAATTCCAAGACTCCATGAACGCTCGAAAACCTAGGCCAAATCGAGAGCAAGCAAAAAGGACAGTTCCTAATTTTAAGAGGTTCGACCCCGAAGAAGGTCTTTTAATGCAGCCAGTGAAATTCGGATCTAGTACCACAGGAGACACCACTGTTTTGTCGGTTAAATTAAGCCATCGACGACTGTCCAGTTACTCTATATAGCCCCCCGATGCCGCTACAGTCTCTAAAGTACTCTACAGAACCCTACAGTACACCAAAATGTCCGTATCCGCCTGAAAAAATTCGAATAAACGGTCGAAATGATCGGAAACTAATTTTTCCCCATTAAATCGCTATGGCCGTATAGTAACGAAATTTCACCAATTTTATTGCCATTTACAAAGTAAGAGAAAAACTCGTAAAAAAAGTACCGAGTTTTGCAAAGTTTTGAATTTCCCGTCAAAACCATATGGCAAACGACGGAAAATATCAAAAAATTTTGAAATGGCATGGCTTTCATATGATTTTTGTGACTCTAGCGATTAGGAACCGCGAAAAGCATATTTTTTTAGCAAAAAGTAGGTATCGGCGGAAAAATAAAAATTAGCCTTCCCCCCGTTAACAATCCAATACCGACCAAACTCTACGCAATAATTAAAATTCGTAACGACATGGCGCTTCTACGATTTTCACACGAAACACTACAGCACGCTACGAACGAACAGTACGTACGGTCCACCAGGGCACAGGAGACATCCGCCAACGCTTAACCCGTCCAAAGCCTGCGCAAAATCCCTTCCTGCAGATCGCTTCTACTGACCAGTTGACACGGCCAAACGAGACCACGGTCGACTTGGGCCAAGTTTTTGCTGCCCACATCCCACCCTGTCATTTGGCTGTCACCCGGAGCTGTGCGCGCGTCTCGTAGCGTAGTGTTGCGGAACAGGCAGAGAGAGAGAGAGAGAGAGAGAGACCCAAAGAAGCAGAAATTCTTAGCCGCCCACCTCGTTTATAAGGCCCATCCGCTTCCCCAGAAACGCACACCGCATCCGCTCCTCGGCCTTCTAGGTAGTGTGCGCTTTCTAGGGAAATGTTTCTAGGGAAGCTGTAGAAAATAGTATTCTAGATGCAAATCAAATTCAGGATTCTAATCGACGCAGGATTACAGTAGATTTTCCAAATTTTAGCGTTTTAAAGGGACTTGGAAGTCAAAAGTTATGGATTTTTTTAAGGCTACGTTGGGACCATTTTGTGTATCAAAACTACCGTATCACCTTCAGTTTCTCACGGTAATCCGCTAATCTTCTCAAAAATTACAAAATTACTAGGTGAATTTTTGCCTTCCCGGTTCCTTAAACCTAGTATTTGCGTTTTTTAATGCGAAATTTAGCTGATTTCCAAGCTGACGATGTCAAAAATGTCATTTCCCCTGCAGGACAACGTACAGTAACCCGAACTTCACTTGGCTACAGCACCCCAAACTCAACTTGGTTACATTAACCCATAATTGTAATATTAAAAAGAATATACACAACCTACAGTAATCCACCGTACCCCACCGTAACCCGACTACCTTACCCACAACTTCTAGTTTGCTAAAATGCTTACAGTAACCCTCTGTTAGCCTAACTCAGTATCCCCGATTTATCAGAATTACTAAACTATGCTCCGCACCTACTACTCGCCAACACAAAGCTCGCTTTTTCCGCTTTTCCCCCCAGCAACAAACTGTCATTGTTGCAGCGCGTACTATTGGCGCCAATTACCTAGCACTTGCATCTACGACACCAGTTTTCGGGCCTTTCCTTTGGGTTGTTGACCCCTACAGTACCCCTAGACTTGTCATTTTTGCCGAAAAACTCTGTGTCCGTTATCCAACTTTTCAGCTACGTCTTAATACAATATACCTAGTACGTATTACACCCCTTCCCCCACCACATTTCGGGCTTCTAACCCCCCACTCTCCGGCCTTGCCACCCTTTGGTTTCCGGGTCTTTCGGGCTTACGGGAATTTCAGCAGCAGCAGCAATGTTCTCCACCCGCCTGTTCGTCTCCGCCGCCCTGGTCGCCGTGTTGTTCGTGTGTCAGTGCAAGGTATGGCATTAGTAGGGTTACTGTAGCTGAATTACTACCTGCGCTTACACCATACCTGAAAAAAATTATTTTTAGGGAGTTCCTGTCGCGAAGCCGGAAGATGGGGCGTTGATCACGGTGGGAGCCGAGACGACGGCCTTGATTCCGACCAGCTCGAACTCGACGGAGGTGAGTTGACGCTCAATTCAGCTATCTCCTCCTAGATCACACCCAGTTTCTCACTTATCTTGATCCCGTAGGTCCCTCTCACGCTCGCTCTCCTTCTCTCTCTCGCTTAGTCTCTGTCTCGCACTTTTACACTCTCTCGTTATCTCATTCTCTCGCTGGTTAGCTTCGTTTGCTGTTTCTCTCTCTATCTCTCTCTCACTCTACCTCTCTTTCTCTCCCTTTCTCTCTCTATCTCTCTATCGCTATCGCTCTCTCTTTCTCTCTCGCTCTCTCTCGCTGTCTCTCTCTCTTTCTGACCCGCTAAGTTTATCTCTCTCTCGCCCTCCTTTATCTCTCACTCTTTTTCTCATCATCTCTTTCCAGATCGACACTCTCAGCGAGGTCGACGCAACCGGAGTCCGTGTCAAGCGCTCGGGATGTGGATGCTGCGGATGTGGAGGGTGCGGTTGCTGCGGTTGCGGATGTTGCCGGCCCTGTTGCTGCTGCTGCAAGCCGTGCTGTTGCTGTTGCTGCAAGCCGTAAGTTTATACCGCAAGCCTAAAAACCCGATGTCTTCCAGGTGCTGCTGCTGCCGTTGCTGCCGCTGCTGCCAGTGCTGCACCACTTGCTGCTGTTGCCGTAAATGGTGAGGATTATCTATCTCTATCTCTCTCGCTCTCTCTCTCTCTCTCTCTCTCTCTCTCTCGATCTCTACCCTCTTTTTCCAGCTGTTGCTGCCGCCCCTGTTGCTGCGGATGCGGCTGCTGTGGATGCGGAGGATGCGGATGCTGCGGATGCGGAGGAGGACGCAAGAGGCGGTAAAAACGTTGAAACGACCGCTCACCAATTTTGAACACCTTCAGCTCGCTCCAGAACCTCCGTATCGCCCACATGAACCAGATCGAGGGCATCACCAAGGTCGATCAGCCTGCCCTCCCCTCCGCCGCTGACTTTGTCGATTCTGGTAAGAGCTATGGTGGGAAGTGTACGCCCAAGCTAAACGTAAACCTAAACCGAAGCATAAACATAAGCCCAAGCCTAAGCCTGGTCCTTAAAACAAGCCTAAGCGGAAACCCGATCCGAAGCTTTAGCCTAAGCCAAGACTAAGCCTAAGCCCTAACCTTAGGCTAAACCTAAATGGCTCTAACAAGGAGTCGCTTTTAGGTGCTTTTGGAGTTTCGGGACGGGACCTAGCTAGTTCGCTAGAGAAAAAAATTCTGAGCAACATGCCATTTTCAAAAAGTGCTGATCGATAAAGCAATTCTAGAAAATTCAATTTAAAGTTAGCGATTTTTTTTCTAGTTTTCGGGTCCATTTCCTCGGTTCGCGTCGTTGTCGGGGCTCTGCCGGGCACAATTCATAACCCTCCGCCAAGGCGTCCATCACAGGTTGCATTGGCGTCTTGGTAGCGCGCTTGCTTACCAACTTTTTAACATTTTTTTGCCTCGGGTTCGAATCTTCGCGCTGGCTAACCCTTTGCTTTTTGTTTCTTGAACCCGTTATCGGTGCATAAAATTTTAATTAGCAAAAAAGCAAAGAGTTAACAATAAATAAGAGTCGAACTTGTGGCAAAAGGTAAAAAAAAGCTTCGTAGGCCAACGCGCTAGCCACTTGGCCATGCCTTGGAGGGGATCCATGACGCGTGAAGTCCCCATGTGGCAGGGGCGCTCGACACCCGCAAATCACCTCAAATCACCACATGGGTGCCGATACCGGGAACATTTTTAATTAAAATCAATTTTCTAAAACACCTTTATCGATCAGCACTTTTTGAAAATGGTATGTTGCTCAGAATCTTTTTCTCTATCGAACTAGCTAGGTCCCGTCCCGAAACTCCAAAAGCACCTAAAAGCGACTCCTTGTAAGCTTAAGCCTAAGCTAAGCCTAAGCCAAGCCCAAGTCAAGCGGTACACTCTCAACTTTTCAGAGGAGTCCTCCCCCATCGAGGCCACCGAGCAGCTGAAGAGCCAGACCACCAACCCCATCATCGCCAAGCTGGCCGCCTTCAGGTCAGCTAGCAGGGGTTATTTGAGAAAAGCATGGACACCAACGATTGAGAGTTCTTATAAAAATCCTAGTTTTAGCCCCGCCCACCTGCTCACCAACCTGCACGACCAGTTCAAGCAGGCCGTCCGGCAGTTGGTCTTGTAAATTTTGGGCGCCGCTTGTAGTTATGTAATTATTCTTAATATTTAATTTATTTTGCCAGTGTGTGTGATGGAATAAATGGGTGAATATATATTGCGTAATCGATTGCAAGTAGCTGGTCTGCTTAACAAAATTTAAATTTATTCATAGCCCGCCAAAAGCGGTTTTTGTTTTTATTTTTGAAAAAAAGGGAGGAGGTCTTAGCTCAGCCACAAGACGCAGTGGCACACCCTGGCCATTGTCTTGCCGAAGCAACAGCCCTAAAAAGGAAAATTTTCGGGTTTAGCTCGCACCCTCCCGCTTTCGCGCTCTCTCGCTCTCTTTCTCGCTTTCTCCCGCTGTCTATCTGTCTCTCTCTACCTGTCTCACTCTCTTCTTCCCTTCGGTTCTCTCGCTCTCCCTCTCTCTCCCTCGCTCTCTCTCTCGCTCTCTCGCTCACTCTGTCTCTCTCACTTTCTCTTTCTAGTCGGTTCTCTCCCACTCTGTTTCTCTCCCTCTCACTCTCGTACTCTCTCCCTCTCGCTCTCCCTCTCGCTCTCTCTCCCTCTCGCTCTCTCTATCTCTCTCTTACCGGAATCAACCCTCCGCCCTCCTTGAATATCTGCCCCTCCGGGGGCCAAAGGTGAAGCTGATCCAGCTCTCCTAAACGATTAAACGATTTTCTGAATTTTCCGAATTTTTCCAACCTTTCTCGATGCGCATCGCCCCGGAGCACTTTTCCAGATCTCCAGGCTCCGCTATCATCGTGCCGTTGGCGTCCTGAATTCGTTTGGATAGTGGCTTAGGCTCAACTTAGGCTTAGCTTAGGCATGGCTTAGGCTTAGGTATGCATTCATCAATTTGACCAACCGGGGCAAACGAATCGACTTTCCGCCGGCAATACGAAGCCTGCAGGCTGGGCAGATCGTCGGAGGTGATCTTCATCAGCGCCTCGCCCATTTGGCTAAAAAAGTCGCTATCGATAGAGATTTCATTATCAAACTTTTTTTGGCCTTGCAGGCTTCCGAATCTAATCCGAAGCTAAGCCCAAGTTATGCTTAAGCTAAGCCTAAGCTAAGCGTAAGCTGAGCTGACTCACATCCGAAGCGCGCTCTCCTCAGCTGACCGGGTTTCGGGCGTGGACTCCAGGTCGACAGAGCGGACGTAGATTTCGTAATATTGGCCCGTGGCTGGATGTTGGGCTAGAAACTGGAAAAGCAGAGGGTTGTAGCCGGGGAGAGAGAGAAAGCGAGATCAAGACAGAGAGAGAGAGCTAGAGCGAGAGAGAAATAAAGAGCACGAAAGAGCGAGAGGCAGAGATGGAGAGAGAGAGAGAGAGAGAGAGAGAGAGAGAGAGAGAGAGGGCGGGATGGAGAGAGAGAGAGAAGGAGAGAGAGAGAGAGAGAACTGCTAAGCTAAGACCGCTTACCCTTGCCCCGATGAAAAGCCCGGATTCGATTTCTTGCAGCGGTCCCCAATCCCGCACAGCTTGCTTATCCTGCACGGTCTTGGCGACGATTGCGTATCTCGCCGCTGCGGTTCGATTCCCGTCGGCAGTTACCCTGTAAATTTGAATATATGTCTTGCTCTCTCTCTCTCTCGCTCTCTCTCTCTCACTCGCCCTCTCTTCCACTCACCAGGAAAAGCGCTCCTGCAGCGCGGCCGAGAACGCCTCCCCGAAATCGCCGTTGTGCGGGTGGATCTGGCCGAAGACGCCCTGGGCCAATTTCTAGAAGGGGCGACTGTTACGTGTTTATGAGGAACTGTGGTGATGTCATTCAGCCTCTTTCCCTCTCTCTCTCTCCCTCTCTCTCTCTCACTCATATCAGGAATACTTGCCGCGAGTACTTCCTGCCCCTTTTGTGAATCGCCGTGCGCGATGATGTGGTAGTCGGCGCAGATTTGGCGGAGCTGAAATCGGAAATAGAAGAGATAAAGAGAGAGAGAGTGAGAGAGAGAGAGAGAGAGAGCGAGAGAGACGCCCACCTCCGTATCCATCGCCAGCAACGCGTTGTAGTCGTCTTCCATCCGGTCGAGGTAGGCCTTCAGCGACTTCGTGTCGTTCGTCCAGATGGCTCCGTGGTAGGTGGAGAATGGGACGATCTAAATAAAGTCAGTTGATTTTACTAAACATTTTTAAGCGTTGAATAGCGTTGGGGAGGACATTACTTTTTCATTTCTCTAAGACCTCACCGCTTGGAAATGAATGTTCAGCAACAGGCGGCTCGTCTCGTCGAGGATGTTCGGGTCAAAATCGTGGCTTTTCAGGCGGGAGTTCATTCGATCCCGGTACTCTTCGGTGATGCGCTTAAAAAGGCTTGTGTCTCTCTCGCTGTCTATCTCACCCTCTCTCTCTATCTCTCTCTCCTCTCTCTCCCTATCTCTCCCTCTCTCCCGCTCTGTCATACTCTCTCTCTCTTGCTCCTTACCTTCGCCACCCCATACGGATCGTACTGCTTGATCGCGTATTCAAATTCGAGCCACGACAGCCGATCGCCGAATTCTTTAAAGGTGTCCAACCGACTATACAGAATCTTCATCGGCGAGCTGATGCTAAAAATCTTGGGATCCAGGCGTAATCGTTGAAAACCAACGTCGTTCGCACCCACTCGTCCTCAATCCGGTCGAGGATCTGCTGGGTCTGCTTCTCGATGGCCAGATTCAGGTCTTTGAACCCTTTCGTCATCTGGAAGGAGCTCGCGAGCTTTAAAGGGACAAGGAAGTGTCAAATTCGACCCGTTCTATTGACTAGCTCTAGACAGCTACGCACCAATCCGACGGACCCCCATCAAATTAGCATCACAAAATCTAGATGGCGAAATATCCTACTGACCTGGTCGCTGAGGTCGGCCAGCTGGTTGGAGAGCGAATTGTGCATCTCGGCCAGGTAGTCGTAGATCGGGTCCGGGGTCGGGGCATCCGTGGGCGGGGGCTGGTCGAGCAGCATCATGATCCCGCTGACGATGCCGACCGCCTGAAGAGACCAATTTCTCTGCCTTGCACGCTCCGCTCTCTCTCACTCTGTCACTCTTTCACTCACTCTCTCTCTCTCTCTCTCTTATTCTCTCTATCTCTCATAGATACACTCTCTCATACACACGGATGCACTCTCACTCGCACTCTCTGTCTCCCATTCTCTCGCTTTCGCTCACTCTCTCTCACTCTCACTTAGGTGCACTCCCTCACTCGCTCTCGCATATCACTTTCTCTGTTTCTCGCACTCTTTCTCGCTCTCTCTCTCTCGCTCCCTCTTCTCTCTCGCTGTCTTTCTCACTGTCATGCTCACTCTCTCCCCCTATTGCTTCCTCTCTCGCTCCTTTCCCGTTAACATTCATATAACCCACAATCCCAAGGGGCGGGTAGAGCGCTCCGATTATTTGCAGTGGCCCCTGGATGATCTTCCACGCCATCATCACCTTTGGCATGATGTCCTTGCCGATCAGCTAAAATGGGGCAGCCTATTAAAAAGACTAGGAAGTGCCAAAATTGTCCCTTTCCTGGACTATATCTAGAATGCGCAGTCTACTTCGTTACGCTGTATAGATCTAGTCAAGGTGAGGGTCGATTTTCGGTCCTTGAATGCAAAAATGAGGTACCTTGTCCAACTCCTGGCGGGGGTTGAACCCGGTGAGTTCGCAGATGGCCTGACCGGTTTGTAGACCAGCCTGTAAATGGCGTTTAACTCGAGAAAAGAGAGCCAGAGAGGGAGAGTGAGAGAGAGAAAGCGTGCAATAGAGCTTGAGGGATAGAGAGAGTGTGACTTCCGGAGAACATGAGCGTAAGTGAGAGCATCAGTTTGGAGGAGCCAAGGCTTCGTTCGGAAGAGCACGAGCTCGAGCTCAGAAGTGAAAGAGCGGGAGTAAAGGAGCAAGAGCGTGAGTGAAAAGGAGAGAGAGACAGGCAGTGAGAGAGCGAGAGCGAGAGACAGATAAAGAGACAGAAGGCAGCGCGCGAGAGAGATACAGTGCGTCTATGCGAGAGAAAAACAGTGAAAGCGAGGTGCGAGAGCGAGAGAGAGAGAGAGAGAGAGAGAGAGAGAGAGAGAGAGAGAGAGAGAGCGCGAGAAAGCGAGAAAGAACGAGAGAGAGAGAGAGAGTGAGAGAAAGAGCGAGAGAGAACGAGAGAGAGAGAGAGAGAATGAGAGAGCAGGGGCCGTGTATCTGGCAACACTCACCCCAACCGCGGCATCGACCATCTGCAACCTTTCCATTTTCGAGTTGAAAAATGGTTTGCCGGCCTTCTGTTTGGCATTGACGGTGTTGCCATATTTCTGGATTTCATAGTGGTAGTCTAAAAAATGGGCTTGTTTCTTTTTGGAGGTATACATACTGGATTGCGAGTACCGGATCTTGTCCCTGTTCACGCCCAATTCATCCGCGAACCTTGATCTGGCGTCCATCCTCTTCTGCGTCTGCGCTTTCGCCGCCTTCGCGTTCATCTTTTCAATGGCCTAAAAGGGTCCCTTGGTAATGTTCAAATTTCGCGATATTCAATAGGCCGAAATTTATTAATTTAATTATTAACTTTTTCTCACTTAATTTATAAAATTTATTCATTATTAATTTTGTCGAGCTTTGTCATTGTTTTTGACTTCTATATAGTTAAATTTAGTAAAAAGATGTTTGATATAAATACACTAGGCAAACCTAAACAATTTTTGCATAAGTTAGTACCGTTTTTAGATACAAAAAGTTTAACAAATTGTAACAGAAGTGCAAAAAAGGCATAATCAGGTATTTTTGAAGCGTGCGAAGTTTCTCATAGATCTCTTTCCTCCTTGCTCTCGCTCTCACTCTCTCGTTCTCTCACCCCATCTCCATCTTTCTCTCTCCCCCTCTCTCTCTCTCTCTCTCTCTCTCTCTATCTCTCTCTCTTTCTCTATCTCTCGCTTCCTCTGTTCTCTGTGGCTCTCTCTCGCTCTCTAATTGGGTTTCTCTGGCTCTCTCGCTCTCTCTCGCTCTCTCTTGCTCTCTCTCGCTCCCTCTCTATCTCTCCGTCGCCGACGAACCTTCGGCTGGAGGACCTCCTCTGGCTTCTTCTTCCCTTCAGCAATAGCGATGCCGGCGTTCACATTTTTCATGCCATTTTTGACGTTGCCCAACGATTTCTCCTAAAAGAAATGCTGTTTTCGGAGATCCATATGTTTTTCCAATTCATTTTCAGCGCAGCTTTACATTTTGCCAAGTTTTGATGAATTAGAGGTGACGGCGAGCAAACGTGCTTAGACTTGCTTAGGCTTATGAATTATTAGTTGAAATTTTGGTGGAACTTCGGTCATTTCTGTCAAAAAACTGAATTTGAATTCTGAATCCAAATTTCAAATTTTTTACGCTTCGGAATAGATAAAAAACAGCTTAGAACGAATTCCTGTATTTACATTCAAAATATTAAATTTTTAGAAAAATTATCCGCCCCCCCCCGATAATGCGAAAGTACCGAAAACCAAATCCTAAATGGAGGCCCTCCCCGGCTAGGTCTTTTCTCAGGTGCAGGGCCCGCGAAGCGGGCCTTGAACCTGGTGGACATCGATCACAATGACGAGGCGAGGTAAGCGGAAAATTCCAATTATTTGAGATTCGACGAGGCGCCAGGCGTACTGTAGCTGGGTAGGGTAGAACGCCTCGAGTACTGTAGTCCATTACAGTACTCCGTACTCCGGCAAGTACTGTAGTTCGTTACAGTACTATGGCCAGATTGTTGTAGTTCTGGACCCGGCAAGTACCATACTCCAGCACGGTACTATGGCCGGATTAGCTTAGTACTTTACAGTACGCCCGTACAGGCTACGACGAGTGTACATTACTGTACTTGCGCTAAAATAATACGGGAGACCGTTACAGTACTCTGAAAAGTACGGTGTTCCAAAAAAACTATTTTGGAAGTAGGTGTACGGTAATAAATTACCTTACCGCGGGTATGGTGATCTCGTTGCCTATTGCGGTAGTACAGCAGCGCTGGTAACGTAGCCCATTCCCATACTCTAGCTAAAATTTTATGTGGTCCGCTACCGTACGCTACAATACGCAAGGAACGTGGTCTGGTACAGTATGACGGTAAAGGTATCTTAAGGAAAACTGGTACTGGATTCTTAGCCGGGGGGGGGGGGGGGGGAGGGGGGAGCGGGCAAGCCAAACTTTTCCCAAAATCCTGTACGTCCCTACGAACAAAAATAAAAACATTTTTTTAGCATTTTACCAAATTTTCAAATAAAAAAGCCTCACAAGCACATATCTAAATTTTCACAATTTGTAGGTTTTTGGTCAAAAATGTATGAACAACGGGAAAAAGGACTGAATTTTGGAATTGAAGAATGTGCGATTTTTTAATTTCTAAAGAAAAATTTGTTCCCCTGCTGAAAATCCCCCCCCCCGCTAAAAGTCCAGTACCGAAAAAATTCAAAGAAAGGTTATAAAATCGTCGTAGGAAGATAGTTTTTGAGAAAATTAGAATGATTCTTGGGCCGCTTTCGGAGATTATATAGACTTTTCCCTATATACCCTCCCGCGGAATTTAATGCAAGTCATTCGGTGGAACTATAAGTTCCTCAAAAGCCTGAAAAACTGGATTTCTCTGGAATTAATGGGAAGAATTCGTGCTTTTCCACGTCCGGAATTTATTAAAATGATACGATGGAATCATAAGTACCCCCGAAATTCCAGAAACTTCCAAATGTCGGGAATTAATTTCGTGGATTTTCGCGTTTCGAAAGTTTCCGGTTTTTGCTATACGAAAGTGAGTCAGCAGAAAAATACAAAAAAGGCGAATTTTTGGCGCGGTGTACTGTAAAAAATATTACAAAAATTTATTGCAAAGATTAATTCTTCGGGGGACGTATAATTTGTCGTCATTTGCGATCGAGCTGCGCTTCTTCAGGATGCCGCGAAGTGCTGGAAATGCTTTTTAAAGGGGTGGTGATTAAAAAGATTGATTAAAAAGTTCCCGATAAAAACCCCAAAAATATTACTCTTCGTTCTCTTTAAAGGAGCTGGGAAGTGGAAACCCGGCCCCATCCATTGGCTAGGTCCAGATGGCTGGGCGACGCGCCAAAATCATGGAAAGCGTCCAGATATTTTTGCTCAAACCTATAGCTTTTTATAAACTAGAAAAGCTTTGATTTGAATTTTTGTGACGCTAGCAGCTGTCGAGACCTAGTCGCCAAGAGGGGTCGATTTTCGAGCTTACAAGTCCATTTAAAGGCTGATTCTTCGCCATTGGTTGATCTGGTCGTTCCTTGTATGTCTTGGAAACCTTTTTGAAATGGGTAAAATTGTTGGCCTAAATCTACGAAATATCTTTAACACCTTTCGAGGGCTCTTTCGGACTATGAGCACCGCATTCTTCCAGCAGATGACGTCTCCAGCCGATGTCGTTATTTGGTAGCACGTCAGTATGGCAGAGGACACAACGGCCGGCCGGGGAATTGGCAGAAGTCACTGTAGATTGTGAAATAGGCAGAAATTTCTCCCTTTCTTTCTCTCTCTCTCTCTCCTTATACCTCACTCTCTCACTCTCGCTCTCTCCCTACATTTGCATTTCGTCGGATTTCGATGCGCGGCATACTGTGACTTTTCGATGGGCTCTTTGCAGCGCGGGCACTGCTTGTGCGCCTTTCCGGAGCATTCAACCAGATAGTGGTCCCGCAGGGAAGAGATTTCTTGGACTTAGGCAGATAAATCTTTAACTTTAAAGGAGCCAGTACGTACAATCAACCCTTTCATCGACTAGGTCTAGACAGCCACGCCAAACCCCCAGAGAACCTATTCAATCTTTCGGCTTTGTATGGGATTTTAGCCTGTACCGTAGCTGTCTAGACCTAGTCGATAGAAGGGGTTGATTTTGGCGCTTGTCGAACCCTTTAGAACACGCAGAAAACTACCTCATTGCAATGCTCGCATTTCTTGAGCATCGGACACTCGTTCAGGTAGTGATTGTCGAGGGCATCCGAGTTAAAAGTTTCACGGTATTCCCCGCAAAACATGCACATTCTGGAGAAAATTGGGTTAATTCCCAAGTCTAAGCTAAACCTAATCTAAGTCTAAGCTAAACCTAGGCTAAGCCTAAGCGAAGCCTTAGCTAAGCCTAAGCTAAGCCTAAGCTAAGCCTAAGCTAAGCCTAAGCTAAGCCTAAGCTACGCCTAAGCTAAGCCTAAGCTAAGCCTGAGCTAAGCCTAAGCTAAGCCTAAGCTAAGTGTTGGAGGATCACATAACTAATCCGAATCCCTAATTAGCATTATATGTATATTAATCTATTTCCGGTTCGGTGTTCCCCCATTTCGTTTTCTCCCCCTCATTTGTCTTGTTTTGTTCCCACACCGATTGGTTGTCCTGGAATAAACCTACTACAAACGTCCTCCACCCACGACTACAACATTGGCGAGCAAGGATTCGACTACGAAGAACATGGCGGACGAGGAGATGCGCGAGCTGATGAAGCAGATGACGGAGATGATGCGAGCTGGGCAGGAGCGTGAGGCGAAGATGGCTGCCGAGATCGAAGCGATCCGCGCTTCAACCCGAGCACGGGGCGAAGAGAGCGAGGGTAAGTCCACGCCCCTTGGCGGTACCCTTCCAAGCCCGGATCGGCCTCTGGATGCGGTTGAGCTGAGTGCCATTGCATCACGTCTCATTCGTTTCGACTATGACCCCGGCGAAGGGCATACGTTCGAAAAATGGCTCGAGCGTTTTAATAACCTCGTGTCCACAGAGCCCCGCATCTCTGAAGATAACAAGAAGCATCTTGTTCTCAGCATGCTCGATGCAAAGGCCTACGGTCTCCTCGCGGATCACGCCAGACCAGCGGAGCTGTCTGCGGTGACCTATCCCGACATCGTCAAGGCGTTGACAGAGATGTTCGGTGAGAAAATGTCGACGTTCAGTCGACGTTTTCTGGCATTCCGTGTGGCTAAGGAAGCCGAAGAGGATATGCATTCCTATGCAGCCCGAGTCAACAAGCTGTATGAACTGGGTCGTGTAAAGGAAATGAACGAGGACGAGACGAAATGTCTGTTGTTCGTTGCAGGACTCTCCGATCAGGCGCATCGGGAGATTCGCAAGAGACTTATACACATTCTCGAGTCGAAGAATGGTGTAAAGTTGAGCGATTTGCTTCGCGAATGCGACAAGCAAACCTGCCTGAATATGGATGTGGTGGTTGAGCAACAAGCCAACGTGAACCGAGTTCAGCAACAGCAGTCCGGATTCCGAAAGACTTGGAACCGGGAGCGTGAGCATACCTCTAGCAAGGGTGGCTCTGCGCAACCGTACCCCAATGATCGGCCCCGGCGGGACAAGCGGAACGACAAGTGTCACCGCTGTGGGAAGCCTGGACATTGGTCCAGGGAGTGTCGAGCAGACCAAGGGAATAACCGCGGTGCGAATTTTTCGAGGCATTCGAAAAATCCCGAAGCCAAAGATTGGAAATCGAAGGTGAACATGGTGGTCCAAATCAATGCCGTCGATTCGGGCCGAAAAGACGTCGAAGTGTCCATCGGTGGCATCCGATTCAACTTGCAGCTGGACACCGGTGCGGCGGTCACCATCATTGATGAAGCTGTTTGGCGCCAGTTATTGCCCTCAGCTTACCACCTCCAATATTCAACTACGTGCTGCAAACGGTGGTCCAATTGAAGTGCAAGGCGCCTTCGACACCAATTTCGAAGTGAAGGGCATTGTCGGGCATGGCAAGTGCTTCGTCACGAAGGGCATCAGGCTGATGGGGCTTGATTGGATTAATCAGCTACCCCAGTTCACTTCGTGTTTCGATGAGATGTGTGTGCACAAGGTCGCACTGGAGAAGTCCAAACTCGAGCAAGAGTTAGTCCAGAAGTACCCAAGTGTCTTCAATGATGGACTGGGCTTATGTACAATGGCTAAAGCTGAACTTCAGCTAAAGCCGGATGCACAGCCAGTTTTTCTACCGTTCCGGCGGGTCGCCTATTCGATGGAAGCTGCCATTGAAAAAGAAATCGATCGACTTGTTGAGTTGACGGTGCTGAAACCGGTCACCTACAGTCAATGGGCGGCGCCCGTCGTACCTGTCAAGAAGAAAGACGGTACAATGAGACTTTGTGGTGACTTCTCTACCGGCTTGAACGAGGCGTTGGAAGATTTCCATCACCCTCTTCCCACTGCCGATGATATCTTCAGCAAGCTGAACGGTGGACAAGTCTTCTCGCAGATTGACTTGAAGGATGCGTACCTGCAAATTGAGGTTGAGGCTGGCAGCCAAGAGTACCTGACAATCCACACTCATAAGGGCTTATTCCAATATCAAAGGCTGATATTCGGAGTCAAGACGGCACCCGGAATATTCCAGAAGATTGTGGATAACTTGATCGCAGGCCTGGACGGGACCGCTGCCTACCTGGATGATCTGTTGATCACCGGCCGGAACCAGGAGGAGCACGACGACAGGGTCCGTCGCTTGTTTGAGCGAATCCAAGGGTTTGGATTGCGCGTCAAAATGGAAAAGTGCTCGTTCGGCCAGTCTTCGGTGAAGTATCTTGGCTTCATTTTCGATGCCCAAGGCCGGAGGCCGGATGGCCAACGCACGGCTGCGATAGCAAGTATGCCATCACCTACCTGCCTCAAGGAAGTTGAGAGCTTCTTGGGCATGGTATCGTTCTACCAGTCCTTCATTCCTCGTATGCGGCAGATGCGCGCCCCGCTTGACGAGTTGAAGAAGAAGGACACCAAGTTTGTCTGGCATGAGGGCTGCGAAAAGGCTTTCCAGTCGCTCAAGGAGATAGTAATCTCTGATCTCTTGCTCTGCCATTATGACGCCAAGCTACCCATCGTCGTCGCCGCTGATGCCAGCGAGCAGGGTCTTGGGGCGGTCATCACACACAGATTTGCGGATGGGTCCGAGAAGGCCATCGCGCATGCCAGCAGGGCATTGACTGTGGCAGAGAAGAATTACAGTCAGATCGAAAAAGAAGGCTTGGCCATCATTTTCGCGATTCGGCGCTTCCATCGATACATCTATGGAAGGCGTGTTCCATCGTTATTCATTACATTACTGACGGACCACAAACCTCTTTTACCCATCTACGGGTCGAAAAAAGGCATTCCGCAGCACACCGCAAATCGATTGCAGCGTTGGTGCTTGTTGTTGAACAACTACGATTTCTCCATCGAATATCGTAACACGACCAAGTTCGGTCAAGCGGATGCACTTTCCCGTCTGATTCCGCCGAGAGCTGAACCTGACGAAGACGTCGTTATTTCGCAGATAGAAATCGATGTGTCGGCAGTTTTCGAGGAGAAACTCAGCCGAGTTCCAATTTCGCACAAGGAGATTGCATCTCAAATGGAGCAGGACTATGTCCTTGGCTCGGTGATTGACTATCTGAAAAGTGGCACTTTCCCAGATTGTTTGCCAGGATCGGCATTGTACGCCTTCAAGAGCATGGCGTCCAATTTGTCAGTTCACCGAAATTGCCTGTTTCTGAAGGAACGTGTTGTCGTCCCAAAACGGCTTCAAGCACGTGTCCTGAAGATGCTCCACGAAGGTCATCCTGGCCAGACCAGAATGAAACTACTTGCGAAGCAGTACGTCTATTGGATCGGCATGGATGCAGACATCGACCGCACCGTCAAAGGATGCGAAGGCTGTCAGAAAGCCCAGAAGATGTCTACCAAGTGTGAACTGACCCCGTGGCCTGCACCCAATCGTCCCATGGAGCGCGTGCACATCGACTACGCCGGCCCCATCGATGGAAGGATGTACCTGGACGTCGTGGATGCCTTCTCTCGTTGGCCGGAGATCCACGATTGTAAGGTGGCGACCAGCCGTACGACGATTGCCCAGTTGCGAGATATTTTCGCCAGGTTCGGAGATCCTGAAACGCTCGTTTCGGATAACGGGACACAGTTCACTTCGAAGGAGTTCGAAGAGTTCTGCAAGGAGCACGGCATCAAACACATGCGCACGCCACCGTTCCACCCTCAATCGAACGGTCTGGCTGAACGTTTCGTTGATACCTTCAAGCGAGCCCTCAGCAAGGCTCCGGGTTCGGCGAACTCGGAAACGTTGCAAATCTTTTTGCGAACGTACAGAGCCACTCCTTGCCCCTCTTCACCGCAACAGTTATCTCCGGCGGAGATGTTCATCGGGAGAAAACTTGTTACTCCGATTGCGCGTTTGGCTCTTCCATCGAGCAACGGCAATATCCAAGTCGTTCTTCAAAAGGAGGGGAAGACGACGATGGTCGAACAGTTCAACCGACGACACGGTGCTCGCAAGCGCTCGTTCGGAATCGATACCACTGTCTGGGTTCGGGACTACCGAAAACCGAACAAACCCGCCTGGGTCGAGGGACGGATTTGCAAGCCTCTTGGAAAATCGCTGTATGAAGTCGAGCTTTCATCGGGAGAACTGTGGCGCCGGCACGTCAACCAACTGCGCCCTCGATATGTCCGAGATGCTCTTCACGACATACTGGAAGAATTCGAGCTTCCCAGTGCTGACGCCGCTGTTCCAGCTGCCGAGCCCGTGCCTCCTGTTCACCATCACCCCGCTATTCCAGCTACGCAAGGACAAGCTCGTCCAGGACAAGAGCAAGCTGCTCAGTCCCGCAAGACCCGCCTCGACAAGTTGCAAGCACTTGGACCAGTGCTGGACGGAAAACGACAGCGCAAGAAGACTGTCCGCTTTCAAATGTGATGTGCCCTGATTCGACCACTTCTCGACCACCTCAAGCTCAACTCGTCCAAGTCCAGCCGCCCACAAGCGCTCATCTTTTTGAAGGAGGGAGATGTTGGAGGATCACATAACTAATCCGAATCCCTAATTAGCATTATATGTATATTAATCTATTTCCGGTTCGGTGTTCCCCCATTTCGTTTTCTCCCCCTCATTTGTCTTGTTTTGTTCCCACACCGATTGGTTGTCCTGGAATAAACCTACTACAAACGTCCTCCACCCACGACTACAACACTAAGCCTAAGCTAAGCCTAAGCTACGCCTAGCCTAGCCATTTTTCCTGTCTGGATTCTGGCTGTCGGTATTTTGGCTGCCGGCATTCGACGGTAAGATTTCTAATTTCAAAACTCACTTATCCAGGTCGAGCTCCTCCTTTTGCTCGGGCTGCTCGGCGGTGGGGAGTCGGACTCGTGAGCCACGTCTATGGAAGAATTTTGCTGTTTTACACCAACCCCACCAACCACAGATTCTTGCCAGGCCATTTTAACAGATACAGTAGGCAACGACAAATTTGAAAAACATTTATTGAAGGCCAACTAAGCTAACACAATTCACCAAATTTCACAATCACATGGAACGATAATGCTCATCGGCGAACCTCGTCTGCTTCCGGATGCCGGATCTTGATCTCCCAACGCTTGCTGGTCGCAAATTGCTTTTCAGCGGTTTTCTGGATTCGGAGGCATCTGAATCACGACGTCTGGTGGAAGAGGAAGAGGTGCTGAAAACATACTCATCAGTTTTAGAATTATCTCCATTGTTGATATTTAGTAGATGCCTAGACGGCGCCTTTAAAGGTACCGGTCAACGGCAAAATCGACCCTTTCAACGGCTAGACCAAGACAGCTAAATTTTGCTAGAAGCACGTGGAAGAGCAAGAGAGAGTGAACGGATGAGTGAGAGGGGAGAGAGCGGGAGCGAGGCTGCGAGAGAGAGAGGGAGAGAGAGTGGAAGAGAGAGAACGCGCGCGCGAGACAGAAAGACAGAAAGAGAGAGAGATTTGGCCAAGAATCGTCGAAATTGATGGATTAGAAGAATGTTGGGGATTTGCGTGTTTTTTGGAGTGTCGCGTAACTGTCCAGACCTAGACTATAGAAAGGGTCGAATCTTGCGCACCATAGTCAGTCAGTTTAACTAAACTCTTTCTTTTCCCCATCCCCATCTTGGCATAACTCTACCCAGTCCTCCTTCCTCGACTCTCCCCCCTCCCCTCTCCATCGTCGATTCTTCGCAGTTCTTCGTGAAGTTGCCGGTAGACTGGATTCCGCGTAGATGGCGAGTCGTCTGGCAGCATTTTCCTAAATTTTTAGTTCGGCTGGAAGATTAATTTGTTCGGAAAAAATGTGAAATGAAAAAAAAATGTTTTGAAATCCGGCTAGATCAATTTTCGTAGATGCAGAATCCCAGCAAATTTAGTTTAATAACTACCGTAATGCTTTCCGATCGCCATTTTCATAGGCCATAACGAAAAGCTTCTTCCCGATCGTTTTCACCTGAAAAAAAAGAAGGAAACGTTGATCTGCTGCTTCCGCTGTCATAGTGCCTTTAAAATAGAGGAGTCATCACCAACCTCAGAATCCGAATGCTTCATCGCGGCTATCGAAAATTTCCCAACGGTCTTCTCGTCGAGACCGCTAAAATTAACGAATTTTTAGGATTTTTTAATTTTAGGAAAAGCTGCGGAAACGCACGCTTCCGGTTGCGGGATTCCCAGCGCTTTTGCTCGTTCATAGACGATTTCCGCCCTCGGACGGTCGCTTTTCTGCCCACCCGACTCGAAGCGGGCCAGCAAGCGAGGCATGAATGCTTTGCAGATCTGAAATCTTCCCAAATGATCTCTGCTAGCCTGCCCCTTCCATTCCCAAATGATCTCTGCTAGCCTGCCCCTTCCATTCCCAAATGATCTCTGCTAGCCTGCCCCTTCCATTCCCAAATGATCTCTGCTAGCCTGCCCCTTCCATTCCCAAATGATCTCTGCTAGCCTGCCCCTTCCATTCCCAAATTATTTCTGCTAGCCTGCCCCCTTCCATTCCCAAATGATTTCTGCTAGCCTGCCCTTTCCATTCCCAAATGATCTCTGCTAGCCTGCCCCTTCCATTCCCAAATGGTCTCTGCTAGCCTGCCCCTTCCATTCCCAAATGATCTCTGCTAGCCTGCCCCTTCCATTCCCAAATGTTTTCTGCTAGCCTGCCCCTTCCATTCCCAAATGTTTTCTGCTAGCCTGCCCCATCCATTCCCAAATGATCTCTGCTAGCCTGCCCCATCCATTCCCAAATGATCTCTGCTAGCCTGCCCCATCCATTCCCAAATGATCTCTGCTAGCCTGCCCCTTCCATTCCCAAATGATCTCTGCTAGCCTTCCCCTTCTATTACGAAATGATCTCTGCCAGCTTGCCTTTGGATCGGCAGCCAGCACATCTGAGAGCGCATCAACCGTCTCACTGGGTAGTCGCTGGTCCTAAAGCCCTTTTGATTACGATATGCCTAGTGTATTGTACCTTTGCTGAATTTCCGAGTACAGAAATAAGTGGTTCTGCCGTAGCCGTTGCGTATTTTTGAGCACCCGACTTTTCAAGACGATTCTCGGGGATGAAGGTCTGGCCAATGTAGCGGAATAGGTCGAGGGCCGAGGTGTATACCTGAAAAACGTTTTAAAGGAATTAGGAAGCGCGAGAGTCCACCCCGGCCATCGACCAGGTCTCGACAGATACGCGACGCTCCGAAAGACGGATGCTGGAAACCATGGAGAAAGACATAAAATGTGATTTTGGGCATCGCGTAGCTGTCTAGACCTAGCCGATTGTAGGGGTCGATTCTGGCGCTTTGCTAGTACCTACCGCATATAGCGTATCCCGTAAGCATCTCGTCAAAAGCGGAAGTGCCGCATCCAGCGCCGGCCCGGCCTTTTTGGTCTGAAAATTGCTAAATGGCACTTTAACAAAAGCTACGGTCGAATTATAGCAATTTAGCTGGCCTTTAAAGTTCTATATATACGTTTTTAGTGTTTTCGTTCTCTGTAAATCTCTTTAAATATACTCAATTAGTTAGAACCTCGTTTAATCCTACTATCCTATCCTACTATATATAAAAAAATAGTGTCTGTGTGTGTGTGTATATTTGCATGCACTTCCGTTTGGATGTTCCGCACCTACAGCCTCAGGGAAGCATTTTTTCGGTAGGGAAGAAACGTCATAGGGTAAAGAAGGGGCCGGAATCGACTGCACACACCAAAAAGTTATGAAAAATTGCTATTTTCGATATTAAAATTAGGTTTTTGTAAAGTTTTCGGCTAACCTCTTTGTTAGGAAGCAATTAACATACGCCGGAAGTGGAAATGGTTTATAAAAAGGAAGAGATGGCGCGCTTTTCAGTTTTGGTGAGCGGTTTTCGGCAAGAATTATGCAAAGTTAATAACTTCATCGATTCTAGACGGGGCCAGGGTTGAAAAGCCGCGAAGCGGTTTTTCAACCCTGGTATATAAAAAAATAGTGTCTGTGTGTGTGTGCATTTGCATGCAACTTCCGTGAGGATGTTCCGCACCTACAGCCTCAGGGAAGAATTTTTTCGATTGGGCAGAGACGTCATTAGATAAAGAAGGGTCCGGAATCGACTGCACGCAAATAAAATCTTTGAAAAATTGCTATTTTCACTATTAAAAACAAATTTTTGTAAAATTCTCGCCCACCCTCTTTGTTAGGGATGAATTAGCATAAGCCGGAAGTGGGATAGCCTATATAAAGCGACAGAGGAGCCGTTTTTCACTTTTTTCCTGATAGATTTCGGGGAATAAGCATGCAAATTGAAGACTTTCATCGGTACTAGACGGGGCCAGGGTTGAAAAGCCGCGAAGCGGATTTTCAACCCTGGTATATAAAAAATAATTCCTGTGTGTGTGTGTGTATGTATGTGTGTGTATTTGCATGCAACTTCCGTCAGCGTGTTCCAGTAGTATCTCAATAAGGGGGGTATTTAGCGGTATGTTTTATACGTCATTAGGTGCGCAATGGCCTGGAGATGACTGCACACTCATAAAATTACCAAAAATTCGCTGTTTTCGACGTTAAAATTAAGCTTTTTGTTGAAAAATCGAGAACTCTCTTTGTTAGGGAATAATTAGCATACGCCGGAAGTTGCGGTAGCCTATATAATGGGGTAGAGAGCGCGCGTTTCTCATTTTTGTCATAGAAAAGCGAGAGAATTATGCAAATTGACGAATATCATAGGATCAGACGGGGCCAGGGTTGAAAAGTCGCGAAGCGGCTTTTCAACCCTGGTTTGACCTAAAAGCTTAATTTATAAAAACATTTACGACCTTGAAAAAGCTGGCTTTTCAATAATTTCCTTAAAATTGAAGATTTTTAACGTATCATTTGTTAAACTTAGTGAAGCTATAGAGCCTACCCCACTGCTGTTCTCCAGCTTCTCCTGCAGCTCTTGCAGCCCCTCGCGGCGTTGGTTAAAGTTTTTCGAATAGATTTTTTGGACCTAGAAACATGGGTTTTTCCTATAGCTTGTCCTAGCTACCGTAGTCAACCCAAAGGTGTCGATGGCCCTCGAAGCCATTGACCTATCGGATGAGTGGATCGCGTCAAGGAACCCAGCTTCGGTCAAGGCTAAAAATGAGGTTTTTGAGTACGGTCTGTAGTTTACGGTATGATGTACGGTACTGTACGGCACTGTACGGCCCTGTCTACTGTACGGTAATGTGCTGTACTGTGCTGTTCTGTACGGTACCGTACTGTACTGTACGGTGCCGTACTGTATCGTACTGTACTGTGCTGTTCCCTAACTTAAGCGCGAGGTTTCTAGCGGTGCGAAGCTTCTTTATTTTCCGTCTAGTGAAAAAAATCGTGTATTTTTAAAATTTTATAGTGATTTTTGATGGCTAGCAAATTATGAAAGTGTTTTATGTATTTTGAAATTTTCAAAATTTTCTCTTTTTTGTCATCTTTTAGAAAAGTCGAAACAATTTGGCCTACATGCCTTTTTGCGTCTAAAAATCCTATAAAAGACCATAAAATTGGTTTATGTTTCGTCATGGGACCATAGAGTTTAAGGGGGAAATTTGGCCCCTCCCCCCCCCGCTAACAGTCCAGTGCCGGTTGGTAGGCTGGCCAAGAATATTTTTCGACATTTTTTAGAGTCACCTGGCGGCTCTTCGCGGTGCCGACGGTGCGTCTGAATTTCCGGGTCCGAGGTTCGACGGCTAAATTGTCGGCGAAAACTAGTTTTGACAATTATATCCTACCCCTTCAGCGCTACCGGAACCACCATATTCTCCTTCTCGTAGAAGCGATTTCCGGAAGTCTTCTGTCTCGACTTTTCCGATCTGGCCGGGATATAGGACTCGCGCGTGGCCGGACGCCGTTCATGGAAGCTGGGCGTACTCGCGGTACTGAAAAGAAGGCTACAAACTGAAGCTAATGCTGAAACGTCCGAAAATCCAAAAGTGACGCCGAAGGGTGCGTGTTATTCCGTTTAGTAACTGAAATACCATGTGTTTCGAGCCAAGTCTTGCGCTGCTTTGAAAAGAAAGCAAGTATAGCGTATGCTGCCTTGAAAGCTCAAATTACAATTTAAGCCAGCCGCGGTGATCGTAGTACAGTAACCTACGTTGGAAGCCTCCGGAAATCCGTCGGCGAATCGTAGCCGTTCTGGCGATGGTCAGCTTCGAAGGAACTTCCGAGAGGAGAGCTATAGAAAGAGTATCAAAGGACACTACCGATGACAAGCTAGCAGAGATCATTTGAGAATGGATGGGGCAGGCTAGCAGAGATCATTTGGGAATGGAAGGGGCAGGCTAGCAGAGATCATTTGGGAATGGAAGGGGCAGGCTAGCAGAGATCATTTGGGAATGGAAGGGGCAGGCTAGCAGAGATCATTTGGGAATGGAAGGGGCAGGCTAGCAGAGATCATTTGGGAATGGAAGGGCCAGGCTAGCGGAGATCATTTGAGGATGTAAAAAGCAGGCCAGCCGAGATCGTCTGGGAATTGGAGGCCCACCGTATTTTCCTCGACGGTGTTCTAGTCGGGCTTTTCGTCGAGTTCGAGGTCCTTGGGGGAGTGCCTGGCTTTGGCGATTTCCTAATTGGTGACCTAGCCACCGGTCGGAGCGGTAGATCGCCTGAAAGGCACTGCTGGTAAAAATACAGTACCCCACTGACCTATCGGTTTTGGGCTACGTATTTCGGAGCGTGTCGGACTGCCGTTGAGTAGGTGACGATCCTCGCGTGGGGTAGGGGAGTCTGGGATTGTCGAAACGCCGGTTTTTACGCGCTGATTGGCAGAGGTGCCTACCGTAGACCGGGGGGACAGTTCTGAAAATTCGTACAGTTTTTAGGGAATATTGAAGATCTCTGCCAGCCTGCCCCTTCCATTCCCAAATGATCTCTGCTAGCCTGCCCCTCCCATTCCCAAATGATCTCTGCTAGCTTGCCTCTTCCATTCCCAAATGATCTCTGCTAGCCTGCCCCTCCCATTCCCAAATGATCTCTGCTAGCTTGCCTCTTCCATTCCCAAATGATCTCTGCTAGCCTGCCCCTCCCATTCCCAAATGATCTCTGCTAGCCTGCCCCTTCCATTCCCAAATGATCTCTGCTAGCCTGCCCATTCCATTCCCAAATGATCTCTGCTAGCTTGCCTCTTCCATTCCCAAATGATCTCTGCTAGCCTGCCCCTTCCATTCCCAAATGATCTCTGCTAGCCTGCCCCTTCCATTCCCAAATGATCTCTGCTAGCCTGCCCCTTCCATTCCAAAATGATCTCTGCTAGCCTGCCCCTTCCATTCCAAAATGATCTCTGCTGGCCTGCCCCTTCAATTCCTAAAAAAGCCTACGGATTGGTTGGAAAAGCTTGGGAGGAGGCACCGGGCCATCCGTTTCGTAGATCGAGGCCGGCTTTCGGATTGTGACGTCATCGGAAGAGGGCCCGGGATCATTCTAAGAGTTTCTTGCTTTGGTCTCACCAGCGATGCCAATGCTCAAGAAGTTGACAAACCGGTACATCCTCCAGTAATTTTGGGTCGATAGCTGCCAGAACGTTTGCTCTCAATGTCTTCATTTCGTCCTTCAGGTCTTGGGCACGTTGGAAGTCTTCTTCCTAAAGGAGAAAATAGACTTAGATTCCGCAAGGATATTTTCTAGCTTGCGAGAGAGAGGATGTGGAGAGAGACAATGAGAGAGCGAAAGCGAAAGAGAGCGAGAGAAAACAAGAGTGAGGGAGAGCAAGCAATGAAAGAGTGTGAGAGAGAGTCAGGATTTGAGATGATATGGTGAAAAAGAGTGAACGAGCGAGAGAGGGAGAGAGAGAGAGAGAGAGAGAGAGAGAGGGATAGCGAGAGAGAAGGAAAGATAGGGCGAGAGATAGAGAGATAGGCCGAGAGATCGAGATATAGGGAAAACGAGATAGAGATAGAGTTAGAGAGAGAGAGACAGAGAGATAGGACGAGAGATAGAGGTCCCACATACCTGAATCGCATCATTCTTGTCCTTTTCCAGCTCCTCCATTTCTTTCGTAGCTTTTTTCAGCAATCGTTGCGCCAACTGCGCTTCTTTTGCCTTTTTGAAGTTTTCTTCCTAGACAAAAACTGACAAAGTGAAAGAGAAAATTCAACCTGTACACAGCGCTTCTTATTCCGGTCCAAAATCCCGCCGAGCGACAACATCTCTTCAGTATATTTGTGGTCGATCATCTCGCTCGAGGATTCGAGGCCATCGTGCTGAAGAGCGGTTCTGGGCTATTAGCGGGGGGGGGGGGGGGGCGCTAACCGGGGGGAGGGAAACTGATTTTAAAAATAACCGATTTTTTAATGACATTTTACACGGTTTTTACTATAAAACTATAAAACTAAGAAACTATAAAGATTGCTAAAAATCATTTTAAATGTTGTCGATTCAAAAAATGTATAAAAATGTAAAAAAATAGCCAAAAAAGTTAAAAATTTACCGAATAAAAAATACAATTCAATACCGAGTCCCTGTCATCTTTCCTAAAAGTCATCTTTCCTAAAAGTCATCTTTCCTAAAAGTCCTCTTTCCTAAAAGTCATTTTTCCTAAAACTAGGTAATCGTAAATTTTTTTATTTTTCCTCAATCAATTTTTTCTAAAAACCATTTTTTTCGAAGATTAATTTTTCCTGAAGTTAGGTATGCGAATAGGGATGCCACCTCCGCCTGACTTGAAACCTGCTACCTGTGTAGAAACGGCAAAATGCCTTGAACGCCGTCAGTCCTTATAAAAACTCTTAGTCGCATCGGAACCTATCCTATTTTTTGATTTCTGAATAGTTTTATGAATTCAAAGATAGCATAACTTGAATCAAAACATCCCCAAAAGATCTAGTACGGCATGGAGACATTAAAATTTTACGGCCCGGGCCTCTCTAAAAAAAATTTTCTTGCAAAAAACCAACTGAGAAATATTGATTTTTAGGAAAAATGGCTTTTAGGAAAGATGACTTTTAGGAAAGATGACTTTTAGGAAAGATGACTTTTAGGAAAAATGACTTTTAGGAAAGATGACTTTTAGGAAAAATGACTTTTAGGAAAAATGACTTTAGGAAAGATGACGTTAGGAAAGATGACTTTTAGGAATGATGACTTTTAGGAATGATGACTTTTAGGAAAGATGACTTTTAGGAAAGATGACTAAAACCCCAAAATACCGTACCTCTACTTTTTTCGGCCTCCCTTTTTCGTCGACATATTTGAATGAGTAGTTCTCCGGCTCTTCTGGGACGTAGGCGCCAAAAAGTTTGATTTGCATCAGCCCGACCTAAAAAAACAAAATTGAATTTTATAGCAATTTTGAGCAGAATTTGTAGGGACTTACGCACCTACGGTTACGAGTACATACGCACTAATAAACATACCTGGTTATAAGGGTTCGAGTGTCGATTGATGTAATTTTCGCCGATTCTTAGCCGGATTCTGGATAGAGTTTCGTCCATGAAGACGCTTTTGAGCTCGTGCTTTGTGGCAGAGCTTTTCTTTTCCTTGAAGGAGACCTCCCTAAATTTATAGTTTTTGTCCATGCCCCTTTAAAATAAAATAACTTCTCTCCTTCTCTCTCTCTCACTCGTTTTCTCTCGCACTTTCTCTCTCTCTCTCTGTCTCTCTCGGTCTTACTCGCTTTCTCTCACATTTTCTCACTCACTCTCTAACTCTCGATCTTTAGTTCCCACTCTTTCTCACTCTCGGTCGATCGGTCTCGCTCTCTCACTGTCTCTCTGTTTCTCTCTCCACTTACCCAAGTCTCGTATAGCTCTTCTCCCCATCACTCAATATATGCTGCCGGTTCGTCTCGATCTCGATTTTTTGGGCTATAAATTACAGAATTTCCGCGGTACACCAAGTTACGAATAAAGCGATTGTGAGCCAGGATCTGCATCTTTTCCACGTTTGCTTTTCGCCGGGTCTCGATGAGCAGGATTTGTGGGTACTCGCAGTCCCTTGAAAATTGGGTTATGAACGAGAGATAGAGAGAGAGCGAGAGAGAGAGAGAGAGAGAGAGAGAGAGAGAGAGAGGGAGAATGGGAGAGAGCGAGGCAGAGATATTACTTTGCGGAACTCCAGGGTTCGGTGACGAGCATCTGTTGCGAGATTTCATCGTAGTCGACGAGTTTATTTACCTGAAATTGGCTTGTGTTTTGTGCTTGCTGTAGCTTTCAAGAATTTCTATGCGTAAAGGGCCCGGCCAGGCAACAATTTGGATTTTCGTAGACAAATCCGCAACCCGAAATCCATAGAAATGCTTTTTCGGTGCGTTTAAACCGCCGTATCCCACCTAATTTACCTGTATCACCCGAAATTCCAGTTCCGTAGCCATAGAGGCGTAGCGTAACCGAGCGTAGCAATTTGTGCCGCGGTTGGTAGTACGTTGCGCTAAGTTACGTTGCGTAGCCCAGCGTAGGATACGTCTCGGAAACTCGCGTAACGTTGCGTAACGGATCGCCAAAATCACACCGAAGTACGTAGCGGAACCGTATTAGTAGCTCAGCTTAGCGAGCTGTGTACCGAGTAGCGTAACGTTGCGTAGCCTCGCGTGGAAACTTTTCTTAGCGACAAGTAGCGTTGCGTTGCGTAATCGGTCGTTGTGTTCCACAGCGCTACCTAGCGTATTGCGACGTAGCCTGCCTACAGAATGGAATAGTTTGATTGCGCGTCACGCAGCGTAGGGTAAACCCGGCGAGGAGGTAGCGTTATGAGACCCAGCGTATCGTAGTGTAGCGTTAAGTAGCCTAGCGTAATTCGTAGCGTATCGCAGAGTTTTTGCCGTGGAGATATTTCTAAAAACGGCGCATCCGGGTTGCGCGCGCACCCGAAAAACGTGGCTGTCTTGGACGACGCCTAGCAACACAAATGTCCGGCGCGACGTGCTCATCTCCCGTATGCACACCAACGCCCACCCCACGACCCGTTTTTTCGGGCCAACAACAAATACCAGGGGGGACCAGTCAAATTGCAATTCAAAAATTCATACAAAGGGAATTCTGGGAAGGGCAAAAACACGCGTTTAACAAGGAAACCTTTTAGGTCCGAGAGGGAACGAACTGAGACGACGAAGAGGAGGGTTTCGACGAACTGAGAGGATACTTTGAGCTAAAAAAGCGGGTTTCGACGAACTGAGAGGACGAAGAGGAGGGTTTCGACGAACTGAGAGGATACTTTGAGCTAAAAAAGCGGATTTTAACGAACTGAGAGGACGAAGAGGAGGGTTTCGACGAACTGAGAGGATACTTTGAGCTAAAAAAGCGGGTTTTAACGAACTGAGAGGACGAAGAGGAGGGTTTCGACGAACTGAGAGGATACTTTGAGCTAAAAAAGCGGATTTTAACGAACTGAGAGGACGAAGAGGAGGGTTTCAACGAACTGAGAAGATACTTTGAGCTAAAAAAGCGGGTTTTAACGAACTGAGAGGACGAAGAGGAGGGTTTCGACGAACTGAGAGGATACTTTGAGCTAAAAAAGCGGATTTTAACGAACTGAGAGGACGAAGAGGAGGGTTTCAACGAACTGAGAAGATACTTTGAGCTAAAAAGCGGATTTTAACGAACTGAGAGGACGAAGAGGAGGGTTTCGACGAACTGAGAGGATACTTTGAGCTAAAAAAGCGGGTTTCGACGAACTGAGAGGACGAAGAGGAGGGTTTCGACGAACTGAGAGGATACTTTGAGCTAAAAAAGCGGATTTTAACGAACTGAGAGGACGAAGAGGAGGGTTTCAACGAACTGAGAAGATACTTTGAGCTAAAAAAGCGGGTTTTAACGAACTGAGAGGACGAAGAGGAGGGTTTCGACGAACTGAGAGGATACTTTGAGCTAAAAAAGCGGATTTTAACGAACTGAGAGGACGAAGAGGAGGGTTTCGACGAACTGAGAGGATACTTTGAGCTAAAAAAGCGGGTTTCGACGAACTGAGAGGACGAAGAGGAGGGTTTCAACGAACTGAGAAGATACTTTGAGCTAAAAAAGCGGGTTTCGACGAACTGAGAGGACGAAGAGGAGGGTTTCAACGAACTGAGAAGATACTTTGAGCTAAAAAAGCGGGTTTCGACGAACTGAGAGGACGAAGAGGAGGGTTTCAACGAACTGAGAAGATACTTTGAGCTAAAAAAGCGGGTTTTAACGAGCTGAGAGGACGAAGAGGAGGGTTTCGACTGGGAGGACGCTTTGAGCTAAGAAAAGGCCGCGGATAATGTGAAAGAACCCAGCTTTTTGTCCACTTCCCAGAAAAGTTGCTTGCGGATTTCCGCAATTAGCATCTATAATTGCGGAATAACCGAATGCAGCGTCTTTTGCCTCATATCTCCGTGAAGATGTTTGGCGTCGAGCTGCTCATCACCATCATCCATTTGGCCGCCCTCGTCACATGCTGCAGGACGAAAGTCCAGAGGAAAAAGGTACGGTCAGCTTGCCTAGCGGTGGGAAGCATTCTCACAGCTCAAACTATCTTTTCACATTCTCGCTCATCCTTTCGTCGACCAGTCATAAAACCAGGAACCATTCGGCTTATTTTCAGCCAGAGACCAGGTGGTTGCGTGTCCGGCGCGGCGTCCCCCGGCTCAACCTCAAGGTAAGCGAACCCAAGTCTTTAAAGAGGATCCAACCTAGCAACTAATCTCTAGAGAAGGTCAAGCAATTCAACGTATTAGAGGGACTGGAAACGATAAAAATGGGGATCTACAACCATCTTTTGTAGGCCACCAACGTCCAGGACGACCACAAGGGAAGAAGAACTTCTGATGAGAGGCCGAAGCTGGATGAGACGCTGCCCACGCGCGAGGATACCTTCAACAAGGTCAAGCAGTTCAACGTATTCGAGGGACTGGAAACGATAAAAATGGGGATCTACAACTATCTTTGGTAGGATTTGTAGTTGTTAGAAAAAATGAAAAGATATGACTGTTATTCAACTTGAAAAACGATCTAAAAACTTTCAAAAAGCAAGCTTTTTTGCTGAAAATGTCAATATGCCCTCGTGTGGTCTAAATGCCCTATTCATGGATTTTTCAGTAGCGCTTGCGTGGATGTTCTGCCCCTGGCACCCGTGGCCGCGACGACGACGCGCAAATCCGAGAGCTCGACGAGCACCCAGCCACAAACCAAGGTAAAGTTGTAGGAATTGCAAGGAAAAACCATGGAGTACGCATTGTCAAAAACGTCAAAAATTCGAAGATTTTTACCTTTCCTGGTTCATTTTTCATACTAATTTTGCCAAGAAGTAAAAAAATTTCGAAAATTTTTGTGAGTCTATGTTTTTTTTAGATTGTAAAATTATGTAAAATGCTATAAAAATCGTTTTTGTTTGGTTATCAAGGCGTAGAGGATCACAGGGAAAAATTTTGGTTTTGCCGCCACTAAGGATCTGCCCCCCCCCCCCGTTAACAGTCTAGAACCTCAAATTTTTGGGAACAAAAAACAGTTCTTGAAAGCTTCTTATACTGTTTTCCAGGGCCTCGCCTTCGTCGACGAGCCCCATACTGCAAGCACCGCGATGTCTCCGTTCCCGTGCGTACCACTAATTTTCAGTATTTTTAAATGGGAAAACTGAACAAAATGGTATTCAAAAATACAATGATATCGATTTCTCCATCAAAAATGGGGAATTTCGATCAAAATTGTAGCATGTCAAAGGTTCAGTTCAGTTAATGTTTCAGAACGCTATCGCCCAGCACGGGTCGTTCGCTCTCGACCACCGCTTCACCGCCCACCTGGTCCTACACCTCCGGCTTGCCGTCGTCATCCTCATCTGCATCCTCGACGTGAGGCCTTTTGGCTATGGTTTACTTTACCACCCCCCCTCGGCCGGAATGTTTTGGCTATAACTTTTTTTATTTTACCTTCCTTGTTGTAGGCTCAAATTCAAATGTATATTATATTTTTCGACGCTCTATCAAATGGCGTTGCAAAAATCCCGACTAAATAAGCGAAAATACCGAAAACTTTGAGACCATTCGGTTGTCGGGGGGGGGGGGGAGGGGGTAAAGAGTAAGCGCGCCATGGCGTCTAAAAAAATTTAAATCTAATCCTACCTTATATAATTTTGGCGTGTCCGTAGGTGTATGTGTGTGCAGCTGTCACTTTCGAGGCCCGATTTGCGGGTCTTTCCCTAGTTAAAATGCCCTAATTCTCCCTCATTTAGGGGGATCGACCCTTCTGTTTCCGATCGCGTTTTCCGAATTTCGACAAAATATACGTTTAGAAAGTTAGAGCCCGTTTTATTCGATTTTGAGATCAGGGAGGGCTAATTTGCATAACGCCAAAAATACAAATTTCCTCGTTCTTGCCAGTTGCTGTTGCGTGTGTGGTCGGGACAAGGAAGGGGGTCCGAAGGACCTGAGCTATCGGAGAGTAAAATTTTTTACGCAAAACGCGGATTCCAAAGTTCCAACCCGCGAAGCGGGTTCTGGGCGCTGGTGACTGGCTTTGACAAAATTGTATAGCTTTTACGTCTAGGACAAGTGAAAATCATTTAGAAACACTAACACCATTTTTATATTTAAAAAATTAGATCGGAAAAAAATAGTCCACCCCCGCCCGATAATGCGAAAGATCTGTTTTCCGATTTTCCGAAAGATCGGCTCTCTTGTTTTCCGATCCAGCAAAATCTGCCTTGCCGAAAGGCCCTCGTGTGGTCTACCTGCCCTATCCATGGTTTTTTTTTCAGTCGCGTTTGCGTCGATGTGCTCGCCTGCGTCGACGAGCCCCATACTGCAAGCACGGCGATGTCTCCGTTCCCGTGCGTACCACTAATTTTCAGTATTTTTAAATGGGAAAACTGAACAAAATGATATTCAAAAATACAAAGATATCGATTTCTCCATCAAAAAAATGGGGAATTTCGATCAAAATTGTAGCATGTCAAAGGTTCAGTTCAGTTAATGTTTCAGAACGCTGTCGCCGAGCACGGGTCGTGCTTTGTCTACCACGGCTTCAGCTCCTACCTTCTCCAACACATCCGGCTTCTCGTCATCATCCTCATCTTCATCCTCGACGTGAGGCCTTTTGGCTAAGGTTTACTTTACCACCCCCCTCAGCCGGAATGTTTTGGCTATAACTTTTTTATTTTACCTTGTTGTAGGCTCAAATTAAAGGGTAGAGTATATTTTTCGACGCCCTGAATGTTTTTAAATGCGTAGTAAACGGGCGTTTAAATTTAACTAAAAGTGTGGTTTTGCAGATTTTTGCAAACTCACCGTGTCAAGGGTCTTCTAATGGTATAAAGGGCCCGATCTCCCCCGCCGTCGAGTTATAGCTAGCTTAGTTATAGTTATAGAGTTGTAGCTTCTAGAAGTTTCTAGAGTTTTTATTATTTATTTTATTCTTTAGCATGCTGGTTCCCGCCGATACGTGGGATACGCCGGAGCATTCGCCGCCCAAGCGCACTGCCGACAACAAGTCCAAGGTCAGCCCGTGACCCATTTTAACCCGAAAATTCAACTTTTTAAACTTTCAAAACCACCCCCCCCGCCTACTAATTCGATTTTTCGATTCCTCTGGCGTCATAACAATGGGAAAAAACTGAGCCAAGCCGGTAAAGGTTGCTTAACGGGGGGGGGGACAAACAACGGGGGTGGAAACAATTTTTGTATTTATAAAGGATGTCCCGCTATTTTGAAACAGCCATCGGATCGAACGTCGGAAATTATCCTAAGCGAATTAGTTTCAGTCGAAAAAAACTTCATTTTTAACGATTTTTAATTGATCAAACTTTTTAGCTTAATAAAGTACTGATTTTAAATCATGGTATTTCGGGCCGATATTAGATCTCTTAGTATAAGTTTCGACGCTCTATCCGATGGCACTAATGAAATGCCGACGAAAAAGCTCAAAACGCCGAAAGAATTCGCGGGGGGAAACAGAACTTTTTTTCGCCCAAGCCTAGATTGTGTATATAGAGAATGGAAATGCTTCTAAATTGTTTATAGCCATTCCTAAACATAAAAATTTTACAAAATTTAATTAAAAAATTTAATTTAGGTAGAAAAATCAATTTTTTTCGGCCCAAAAATGACCAAATTTTCGACTTTTTCAAGCATTTTTCTAACTTTTTAAAAAGTTTTTTTCCGATTCAAATAAGCTTAATTTTTGATTAAAACAACGTGACAACACTTTATAATTAATTACTATCCCCACCAGGGCCGACAGGAAAAAATTTGGTCCCCCCCCCGGGAATAAACAAGTACCGGATATTTTTTTACTCAAATTTGTAAATTTTTCACGTTTAGGAATAGTAAAACACGATTTACAAACCCGGCTACCATTTATTTTTGAAAGTATAGGTCCTAAGAGAAAACTAGCCCATAGCCCATTCAAGCAGCTCATTTCCAGCGCCGTTCCACCTCTACCAGCCCTGCTGGATCCGTCAGCGAGAAGAAGGCCCCAGTCCCGGTTGGCAACCGGGCTGGGGTTGCCCCCGAACCATCTACCAACTCGACAAATACGACAAGCATCGAGCCCGGGTGGGTCATGGCACACGGTTCTGGTCTGTTAGCGGGGGAGGCGGAATTTTTAGCGGGGGAAACCGCTTTTTGTTTTTCCATCCCTACCTGTTGACGAAGTATTATGTATCTTTATAGTGTTTTTAGTAGTGTTTGATCCTAAAAGGTTATAAAAAAATGTTTATGTTTTAAATTAGAACATTTTGACATTTTTTGGTCACTGTTCATACATTTTTCACCAAAAATTCAAAAATTTTCGAAAATTTGTTGGATCGAAAAGAATTGATTTATATTGTTGTTGGACCTCAAAACTATGTAAAATGCTATTACAATGGTTTATATTTCGTTGTAGGGCCGTGGAGAATCACAGGGGGAAAATTTGGTTCCCCCCAGCTAAACCCCCCCCCCCGCCCCGCTAACAGTCCAGAACCTGGCAACTGCCACTCTCTCGCTTTACATGGCCAATTTTCAGCGCCCATTCGCCGTCAGAGATGGCCGCCGGCAAGACGAACAAGATGAAGCCGGCCGACGAGAAGATGACAAACAAGGAGGTTCGTCTGTTTAAACTTTTGTTAGAAACAAACCGGATTCGAAAAACCGGTTTAGAACAGTTTGCCCCCGACCGGTTCTCGGTTTAAGAAAAACCGCTTCGCGGCTTTTCAACGCTGGCCGCGCCTAGGACCGATCAAAGAGTTTAATTTGCATACTTCTTCCCGAAGGCTAGACATAGAGGCGGCGAGGCGATGAAGGGGCGGGGGTTGGGCGTTACGCGTGGCGGGTGCGGCTAATTTCATAGCACGCTTTCGCCGCTAACAGGAAAAATGGAAACGAGAGGAAAATCACGATGGGGTTCTTTTGCATTTTCGAGGGGGTCTAGAAATGTATAGTAAGTTAATAGACGGTATTTTAAAAGTGTGTTTGGTAATCTATAACTATATCTAAGCTAGGAAAATTATCTAAAAATTTTGAAAAATGCTGAAAAAGTGGAAATTTTTATCAAAAATCGGCATTTTTTGGTGGAAAAATTGTTATTTTCCTGTTTTTTTAATAAAAATTTGTAAAGTTTTTACGTTGAGGAATAGCAAAAAATTATAGCAAAACATACCCCCCCGATAATGCGAAAGAACCCCGCGAGCTGGCATACGCCGGGCAAAGCAAACCTTCGTTTGAAATTGAATTCGCTCTCGAGCCCACTGCAAAATGCGGAAACCCCGCTGTTTCGATCTCATTCATAACTTTTATAGTGATCTCGCGACAAGCCGGAATCCTCGACAAGCCGCAGAAAAACCCGCCCTCCTGCCCGAAAAGCCCCCCGCCCCCGCCTCGCCAACATCATTATCCTTTTCTATGCATTGTACTGTTTGTTTGTGTAATAAAGGGTCTACCGGGACATCCGTGTGCAAGAATTACTGCACAAAATGCGCACGGACAGAGAATTCAGTGCTTGTATCCGGAGACGTTCGAAAGTTTTTGCACCAAATTTTATACTAACGCGCAAGTGTGACAAATTTTACCATGTAATGCGAACCCACCGTTCTGAATGCAAGGCAATAACTTGCATGCCTAGCGAGGCACTTGGGTTTGTGTGTGAGAGAGTGAGAAAGATACAGAGAGAGAGGGAGTTTACGACCACTGGTTCATTGAAGCATAGCGGCTTAATCTTCTCAAATTACAAAAAAATTCTAGCAAATTTCGCCGCAAGGAAACAACGTTTCATAATGGCAAACCCGGACAGCATCGCAATCTTACAATCTTGACAACAGCAATTTTTCATAGCCCTGCAATACGTGCAACTACCCGACATGGTTAGCCCTGGGATACCGCGTCTCAGAGAAGGTAACTCATTTCAAGTTCGTAAAGTCTTTATAAAGCCAGTCATGAATGATCTGATCACACCAACGATTTTTATGTTTATCAAAATCCACACAAAAATTTCAAAACACTGCTGCGAAAAAATGTCGAAAAGGACCTTCACGTGCCGGCTAAATATCGAAAAAATGTCGAAAAGGACCTTCACGTGCCGGCTAAATAGGGGGAAAATGTCGAAAAGGACCTTCACGTGCCGGCTAAATATCGA